TTAAATAGTTCTGCTGAGTTCTTGGTGCTTTGGGCCTAAACCTATTAGATGCTGTCAGGTGCCCACGATGCGGGGACGAGGGTTTGGCTTGGAAGGAGGCCTGGCTGTGGTCCTCCTACCAATACAAATGCATTTGGCAATAGCATAAGGAGTGTGGGAATGGGCTGGGCCAGGCAGCAGTGCAACTGGGGGGTTCCCTTCCCATCTGCTGATAGCTCTGTGTGGTGTTTCTGCCCAGGCTTCCTTYGTGCTCTCCTGGGCAGGCCCTTTGCTCTTCCCACTAGCGTGGGTTTTCTCTATCCGCTAGCGTTAGTTTTCTTGGAAATTGTCCTTGCTGCAAGAGAGGGGGGAATGAAGCAAAACTCACTTCTGCAAATAAGTTATTTAGGAGCAAATTCCATGTCTTGCTGTGGGCACTGGCACCGTTCCTGCCAACCTGCTTGGGAGTAGCGCTTCATCCTCGGAGAGCTGAACACTTTCCATGCTTTGAATCCACTGCTTCTGCCACCAGCTCCAYATCCTGCTGCTTAAATCCAATGGCTGAGGGCTCGCATATGTAAAGTATTATGTTTTGTTATGAGTGGAACGTTGCCCCAGGCTACAGATCTAATAGCTTCATAGTAATTGTCCTAATTCTGAGGAGAAAGATGGCCATTTTATTGCTACGACCAATAATCTGTGTGCACATAAGAACAGCAGATGTCCCTCAAACAATAAGTATACTTTTCCACGTGTACAATTTGATATTAAGAAAAATAAAGACAGAAATTGTATTTCTCTTTAAACCTGCTCCAGCAGAGGGATAAACCAGAAGCTGGAATCTTGACTTCTGCCCTAGATGCTCTGTCAGCGTTTTGTACTTGCTAGGCTCAAAGGGCTATACAGGAAATGGATTTCTTGTAGCTAATTGTGAATGTGGTAGGTTAGATAAATCGGCTTTCCTTACCTGATCAATTGACTGTAAACAGTCAATAAATAACTGTTTTCAACCAGTGAACTACTGATTGGTTTCTGCCATCATCCATTTTTCCCTTCAGTCAGTTAACTCCAGAGACTGAGCARTATGTACATGCATCAGGATCTAGCAAAATCATCTTTGATTGTTTCTGGACATAATATGGAAAAGAACCCAACAGGCTGGAAATAGTTTTTGTGTAAAAGGGATGAATGTGCAAGGCTGTGCCACATCCAGAAATGCTGCAAGTGGGACTGGGGCTCCGATAAGCTTGCAACATCTTTCTTTCCTAAACTGTAGGAAAGACCTTGCAAGATTATTGCAGGCTGCATCTGTGCCGAGCTTGGCACTTCACTAAATGGCTGTGGCATTCATTTCCACTAGAGCTTTTGCTGTTACTGGAGGAATAAAGTAGAATCTGCCTTTCCGCTGGTTAGAAGGGAATCTTTCCAAGAGGCAAACCCCTCCGTCCCAAGCTCGCTCTTGCACTGCCTTATGTTGGTTCCTTATGTTACGTATGCATCATGTTACGTAATGCCAAACCACTAGCCCATTTAGTGCGATGACCTGTCATGGCTATTAGCTCTGATTCCACGTTCTTATGCCCACACCTGCCACAGGACAGGTTTAATCCCTTCTGTTTGCAGATAAGCCAGTGGCAGAGGTGGAGCACGAGTCGCTGCTCTCTGCAGCCTTCCTCTGGCCAGCAGCACGAGCTCTGCTGTGAAGCCCCATCAGCGGTAGTAGCTGCCAACACAAGTCTCAAGATGGTCACGCAGCGGTAACGGCAGCGGGGTTCACACCTGGGCGTTTGATGTTTGCATTTAATGTGATGTGCTGCGTTTTGGTGTATACATTGTCATTGTAAAACACACATGCTACTTCCTGAAGACCTGTGGCGTAACCAAGAGGAAGCACAAATAAATGGAGCAGGGGGGGTGGCGAGATGACCGCCAGAGGTGCTCTCCTGCGTCAGCTATTCCATGACGATGCTGTGTTTCTTAATGTGTTTGGGCAGTGTGAAGGACCCATTGCTTGGTCTGGTAACCCGGAAAGATGAGAGTCTTGCTGTCCTCTTTCACTAGGAAGGTGAGGCTGCATTTCCTGCATGTTTGCTCTTGGTGCAGACCCTGCATGTGCACTGTTCAGTTGGCTTGTATGCAGGTGGGACATGTGAAAATGCAGTCACAAAAACAGAGCTTGGAGGGGGTCAGGGAAAGCTTATGCAGTCCCTGCACCAAGACAGCCTCTTCTTGTTTGCCCAGTTATCTGGAAGCTGAAGATAATGGTCTTAGAAATACTTGAGTGATTATTGAAATGCACTGTACTGCAGCAGAGGGTTGGGAGGTCCCCAGTCTAACCTGCTGCACGAAGCCCAACGCAGTGGACCTGGTGGCTCAGGGCTACGTCCAGGCAGGTTTTGAGCCTCTCTGAGGATGGAGGCTCCAGAATCTCTTGGGCAACCTCTGCTGGAGTTTGACCACCCTCATGGGAAACGTGTTTTACTTGCTTRTGGTTGGAACTTGCCTTGTAGGAGCTTGTGTGCATTGTCTGTCAGCCTTCCACTGAACGCCTCCCRTCTCTGCAGTATGATAATGTTTCATTATTTCAGCCTGAAATACTCCCTRAGAAACCAGGAGTACTGCAGGGCCCCTGGTTGTGTGCAGAGCTGCAACAGTACAGCACAACCCTTGCCTATAGAGAGAAGCGTCTAGTTTGGGGAATCTGAATGACTGTGTTGGTTCAGAGGCTGTTTCTTGCTTCTTATGATGCTTGAACAGTTGCTAGAGGGGGAGAAAAAGCATTGTCACAGTGCACAGAAGGGATTTAAAAAAAAAAAAAACCCCTCATCTTGTTCTCTAGTATTTTCTAGGGAATGACAGTATTACAGATTAACATTTACAAAGCAAGAAACTTCCTAACTAGACTACCTGCAGGTGTTACTTCACTCTGCTAAAACTCAAAAATAACAAGTTAAATCGCTCTCTTTCTGCTTCTAAACCTTCATTAAGGAAAGACCTTGAAAAAATTGAGTTGGGCAAGCAGAGCGGGGGGGGTATATGTGCATTTTGCATGTCCACTACATGTGTACAGAGGTCCTTTTGCTAACAGCCTTTTCTCATTTCACAGCTCTGCGAGCAAGACTCTAGGCAGGACCTGCTTACCAAAGTATATGGCTTCATTAAGGTGCTTACACAGAGCAGTCCTCATTTCATTTGATAAAAGGAAATYTACTCTGTGACCAGGAAACCATTGTGTGCAGATCAAAAAAAAAAAAAAAAAAAAAAAAAGATGTTTCCTGGGGAAATTCCCTGCAATCTCTAGCCTGGGCAGCCTATAGTAGAATCAAACTGGACTTGCTGCAAGTTGCACCAATTTTCAAACAACAAGAATTTCTAAATTGACGGCAGAGCGAGTTGAAGACATCTGGTAAATTGGAAAAGCTTATTCTGGCCTTTATGATGAACAAAATCCTGTGCTGGAAACCGGGTAGGTCCCCAGAAATCAGCAATCCTGACCAGATTATATTGAACATGCAGTGCAGAGAACATTCACAGTTAGTACCATTTCTACAAGCATGTTGCTTTCACAGAGATAATCTTCCAAAAATGAAAGGGAGGGGGAGAGAAAGTATGATGGAAATTGCAGAGGAAATGTTTTTTTATAGAAAAACGTGAATAGAAATTTTCAGTTCCTTAAAATGAATGTATTATGTAATCAGAATGTTGTGTGGTGCAATCAAGAAGGATATTCGTAGAGGGGATTAAGATTCAATAAGGAAGTGAAGGTAACGATTTGAAATAAACGATACGAAATAATACATGAAAATGTTGAAGGAACTGTATACCTAGGCATCACCATAAATAAATTACCTTAGAAATTRATAACAAGAAAGTGGAAATATGAAGGAAAAACTCAGGGCAGCTGTTTTTAACATACATTTGCAATTACAAGTCATGGTGATGGCATGGGGCCTTCTAAGTTGCAATACATAAACATAAACCGGTGTTATTTATTTATTTTGTCTACAGATGAGGAGTCTTCACCTGGAAGAATGAATGGGATATGGTTAAGGGGTTTGGTGACATCCTACGCAAGACTGAAAGTGCGTTTTGATGTGGGCCATGTCTGCTACGTGTTAGAGAAAGGAGGCCCAGTCCTCTTCATGGGCCAGGGATGTTGTTTTGGTTTTCCAGTTTCCAGATACTTTTAATAGTCGTAAACCCAGATTTTTCAGGTAGATAAAGTCTGAGCGTGCCCCTTGCTCCTGGAAGTATTCCCATGCAGCTCCCGCTCTGCCCTGCTCAAGCGTGGCAGCGAGCAGCACCTTGCCTAACGCTCAGGCCATCGAGCCAAAGTGTGTGTATCACTTATGACAACATATAAAGTTTTCTTGTAGTGTGTATTAGTTGTTACGGGATATTTGTTTTAAATGGGGACRTGCTTGCACTAGACACCGGTAAGTCCCGTCGAAGTGGAATGGTGGATGGTACGGATGGCATGAGGGCTGCCCTTAAAGCCGGGATTAAAGCTGGGAACGGGGTGCACGGTGCCCAGCTGCAGTCGTGAACGCATGTGGAGCCGGAGATGAGCGTGTTATAGCGATGCAGAAACACTCCTCGGAGCCAGGGCTATGCGCTCCAGCGGGGCACTGATATAAAGCAGTAAGCATGTTACCGTGCCAGGTCTATTTTTAGTATTTACTTAGAATTATATATATATATATGCACACTGAGTAAAAATATCTCTTTATACATGGAAGTCTGCACAGTCCAGTCAAATTATGATTCGTCAGGAAMAGATTGATGATTATGATGATTGAAAATGGAAAGGAACCGCGACCCGTCCTGCCGCCTTCCTCCTCCTCGTGGCCCTCGTCCTCCCCCGCGGGGTGGCAGGTGCGGCCGAGCCGGGCCGGGCCGGTCCTGCCGGAAGCGCCGCCTCGCTGGGCTGAGCCGRGCCGGGCTGGGCCGGGCCCAACGGCGCCGCTGCCGCCCTCGCTCCGCTGGGACGCGGCCTGTGYCGTCCCCGGCGCAGCCGCGGCATGGCCGGCGAGACGGGCCCGGAGCTGCCGTCTCTGTCGGCCCTCCAGGCCGCCTACGGCTACGGGCACGGCGGGGCGCTGGGCCGGCTCCGCGAGCGCGAGCTGCCCCGGCTSCGAGGTACCGGTACCGGCGGCGGCGGGCGGGCCGGGGCGCGCGGCACCCCCCTGCGCCGCCGCAGCCTTGCCGGGCGCCGGGGCTGCGCGGGAAGCGCAAAGCGCTCGTGTGGAGGCGGACATGGGGGAACCGTGTCCTGTGCGTGTGTCTCTCTCTATATATATCTATAGAGAGATGTATACGGTATAACTGTGTCCTAAACGTGCCGCAGGGTCGCTGAGCTGCTCGTGCGCAGATTCTTTCCCGGGAGGTGTTGCTCTCCCGTTCCTTGGATAAGCTGGAAGCAGGCTGTTGGGAGCGCCTCTTCCCTCGCTCAGGTGTGCCTGGTGAAAGCGAAAGCAGGTTACGCCTCGAGGGAAAAACAGCCTGTGGAAACCTGATCTGTAACAGGCTTTGGATGAACTCTGGGGTTTCTTGTTGTGTTTGGGCGGTGGCAAGGTGCTAGAGCTTGATTTTGAAGCCCGGTTTTAGTCATCTGAGCTGCATCAGTGAGTTTGGTAACGAGCTGGTGGCGATAAATGGAGACACAGAGTCCTGTGTAAGCCCTGTTTGGTAGCTGGATGTTGCCTAGATGGTTAAACAGGTGGYTTATCAAAGCTCTTGTGCGTGGGCTGGGTTTTGGGGAAGCTCCCAAGCCTGGCGACCAGGCAAGTCTTGACGGTTGCATCAGTCTGGGCTCCGCGTTCGCCTCCCTGTCCAGAGGCTTTGGCTGCTGAACTACCCTTCTGTCGTGCGGCTTTTCACAGCGAGCCATGGGTGATGGATAACTGGGAATACTTCCCAAGAAGGAAACAAATGTGATGTCTGGAGAGGACTCTGTCTTCACCTTAGGCAATTGAAACCATGCAATAGCCAGGGCAAAGTGACCTTGCTTGCACAGCTGCCTCTGCCCATCATTGCCTTCTTTTAAAAAACAACTTGAGATTTTTACTGTGTTATCCAACTCACAGGTATTACTGATACCTTAAAAGCTTGGAGTCACATCTGCTTAGAAGGTCTTTCATGCTGTACATAGGCTCCTTTTGTGCCTGCTCATGTTAAGAATGGGAGTCACTAACTTGTTCAAGAGCTTGTGTCTCTAGGCACACATGCCTAGTCCCTTGTGGGACTCTCTTCCTGGCTTCAAACATACTGGTTGCACCGGTGCTGAGGAGAGTTGGGAGCCTGGGCGGCAGTGGAGCTATGTGGGTGATGGCAGCAGTGCTTGGACCTTGCCCTTGACCTTCTCCTGTCTAGWGGGGTGGCTGCATCCCTGCTGGGTGCGGGTCTCCGTGGGTTGCTGTGGGYGTCCCACCAGGGAATTTGAAGCTCTGGGTCTCTGTTGCCTTCCTGAGATATGGCAGAGGTGGCTGTTCCCCAGGATAACAGCAGCAGCCCCTCTCTGCAAGTGACGTATGAGAAATCAGTGGGGCTTCCAAGTATTTGTCCATCTGAGCACTTTGAGAGGCTGCCCCCCAGGAGCCCCCGTYGGAGGGGTGAGGTAGGGAATGTATTTGCATCTGTGGTCACCTCCRCTCGGCTCCTGGGTGCATCCTGACTCTACAAACCCCTGCTCTCAGAAGAACCTGTAGCTTATCCATGGGCTGTGTCTCTGCCGGGGATTTCCCTATGGCAAAGATGTTTCAGTTTAATCCCCTGTAGTAAAGTCACACTAAATAGTGACACTAGGCCAAAAAGGTACTGAACTCCAGGTGTTTAACAGCGGTATCATGCCCTGCCTGTTTGCTGGAGACATCCTGTAAAGATCTTTCCATCACTACAGGCATAAAAACTATGCTGCTGCTGCTTGCTTGGGAACAGAGTATTTGGAATCCCTAATTTTGGCAGTCAGTGTATTCGGTTGTTGGCTGCTGGTATCTGGTGGTGCCTGCTAGGGACCTGTGTGCAGGTTGTGCCCTCTGCGGAAGGAGGAAAGCCCCTCCACACTGTAGACCTCTGGGCACAGGGTGCTGCRCCCCAGGTTTGAGCTGTAGCGTGAGCAGTTTTGCATGTGTCTGTTGAGAGGAATGCGTGTGTCTGTGTGGAGGAACTTAGTCTGAGGGTTTCCCTTTTGGATACTGTGAAGGATGGGAGYTCCTGCCCTTCCCTCCGGCAGCAGAGTGCCACTGTTCATAGGGACGTGCTAGATTTTCCCTTTTAAGCCAGAGTTTATCTTTGCTTCAGTAGTCGAAGGGCTGTTAGTCGATGGCCTCAGCAGCTCCTTCTAAAAATATATGTGGAGTTGGTGAAACTGATCCCTGTCTTCCAGGCATTAGTGGGAGCACTATATGTGACCTTGACTTTAATCTCGTGGACGGCACATACCCTTATCACCAGTATACTACTGTAAATTGCTCTTTAGCAATGGGCCAAGAAATCAGCTGGAGTTTATAGAGGTTAAGTAAGGGGAATGAATGTGCTTTCCATGACTTTTATCCTAGCAAAGAAAATACCTGCTCTAGTTCGTAGTGTTATGCTTTTATAAAAGGAAGAACTGACACGTGGCTGACAATGCTGCATTTACTCCAGAATGCCTTTCCTGTTTTGCTGCTTTTTTTTGTATTTTTCTTAGAGTTCATTTCAGTGGGTGTTTCCCAAGAGTGATAAGGATAGCGTTTCCAAATAAGAAAACAGCGTGTAGTAGCGATCCCATATTCCTGCAGGGCTGCCAATTGTCTGGAGATGAAGTGCCCTGTCACACGTACAAAGTCAAAGCAGTGGAAGTGCAGTCAGCAGGAACTATCTGCCAGGTCACATGTTATCACACCTGATAGTAAGAGCTCGTAATCTCTGTGGTTATAGAAATACTACTACTCTCAGTGCAGCTTACCTGTTTAGAAGCAACTTCCTCCTCTACCCCCAAGTTTTTGAGCAAGAGAATTGGCCTTAATTTCCTTCGTATTCAAGTAATGTCCCATGAAGTGGTCACCTCTGCATGAGCTTATTTTACTGTTCAGTTAAGAAATAATTAGATGTTTGATCTGACTTTAAAAATAATATATGATTTTTTCATATTACTGGTAACTATTTGTCCTGAGACTTTGCCTCTAAGCAGCAGAGTGGTTTGCGTAGCTCCCAGGGGATTTGTCAGCAGTGTCTKGGGAGAGCAGCAGAGCGTGTCCGCTTTGCCACGGGCTTTGGATTACCCGGTGTTTTGGCAGGGAAGTGTCGGTTCTGGGTGCCGGTTCACAGGGACTTTCCAGGCAGCCAGTGTTGCCGGTCAGTGATGCTTGTGCAGGTGAGGGGAAGCCCCACTCACCAGTGACTGCAGGTCTGGCCTCAGTGTCTTTTCTGCTGGGGCCAGGACTTCTGCCAGGCCACCGCTTGGGCTTGTTGGGCTGTGTCTTTGATTCTGAGGAGTAAATTTGTACCCTCTTCTCCCTAAAAAAGATAATGTGTTTTATCCTTTTTATTGTTTATATACATATATTTTAAACAAAGATCCTTTGGGTGTTTGATTTGGGAGCTGTCTTCCACTTCTACTTGTGTTTGTTAGTTACTGCTGATTTGCTGATCATTCATAAATTTTACCTGTGGACAAATCAGCACTTGTAAATCTGTTAGTTTCTTGGTGAGGGCTCGAGGACTGTGGCCGTTCAATAGTAGTTTCTGTTTAATATCCTGGAGCGTGAACGAGCAATGTTCAGSTCTCAACATGTGGTTTAAAACTTGATCTGGGGGAGCTTGGGGGGACTGGTTTATTTTGACTTGCTGTTTCTRGGCTCTACGCAGCACCAGAAGGGAGGTGTGTGGCAAGCTACCATCCCGGGCAAGACTTAGGGCAAGCGTTGAGTTCCCGGCAGGCCCGATGGCCACCCACTGCTGGCCGCACTGTCGCACTGAGTGACTGTCTTGGACAGGGGGAAAAAAATCTTCTACACTCCTCATTTTGATGTTTAGATGTAARAGCTTAAAAATCCACAGGCTTCCAAACGGGAAGTTTCACGAGGCCCTGTTGTTGATTAAAGTTTAGTTACTTGCACTTATGGTACCCTGATTTGTACTTCGTTGCCCTTTGAATAAAAGAGAAGAGCTGCCAAACAAGTGTTCCGTGAAACGCTGGTGCCATTTGAGCTAGTCTTTGCTGATCCTACTTGYTTGTCTTAACTTGGAGACTTTGGTCATTGCCGGTTGCCATACACATGATGTAACAAAAAGCAGCGTACCCTGTGCGTGGGACGGGGCCATGGGSAGGGCACGGGCCCATTCCCTTGGCCCTCCGGCAGCGATGGCTGCTGCCGCCCTGGACCACTGCGAGGCGGCGTTTGCGGGGAGCTGTGCAAGCCCCTGGCCCCTGCCAACCCCCCTGCCACTCGCTGGGGTTTTGTGCTCTGTGAGGAGCTGAGTRCCTGCGCTGGCCTAGCTAATCTCGGTTTGGAGGAGGAGGCTGCTGGTTTGAGACACCATAAGGCACGCAGGGAAGATGGGCTCCGTGGGTGGGCATGGGCAGCTGAGCTGCACAGCTACAGGACACCTGTGTTGCAAACACCCGTGTTCAGGCCAAGGCTTCACGTTTCCTGTTGGTTTGGATACAACCATAGCCGTTACCCAATGCACTATTATTGAAAGAATTGGTACTGAAGAGGGAACCCTATGTGTGGAGTGTGAAGTGTTGACCTCAACAACATGAAGAGCATGTTTTCAGCTTCTGATATTTTTCTCTGTCCGGCTTTATGGAAGCAACAGATACAGGATTAGTAGATGTTGTTGGGAATTTCTATTCTTGCATATCAGGATTCCAAAGGTTATCAGTGGTCTGCTTTGTGCAGAACCGATCTGGGCTCGATTACCTGTTACTCGGTGGTCTTTGGCTCCTTATGATGGACATAGCTCTTAGCAGTTAGTGATATTAAGTCACTGTAATTATTCTGGCACTGAAGGAATTTTGAAGTACTTGGGAGGCAAAAAATACCCTCCAAGGTACAGGTGTGTTGTGTATCTTGAACTGTGCTGTTCAGTTTTGACTTCACGTGATGTTGATTACCCATATAAAGATGTGCTCCATTACACTGTCTTTATAAGTRCATGTGCTGCACAGTACCAGGCTTCTAAAACTCCAAACCCTATTTACAGTATAGTTGTCTGGACAAAAAAGAGGTAATCTGATGCTGTTGACACGAAATTGAGTGTTTTCAAGTGTATTTTAGAAATATATAGTTAATCAGTTGGGACTAGATTCTTTTTAAAAAAGAAAATAAATCTGCCTAGACACTGAAAATTTCAATCTATGTATAGAGATAAAAAATACAGATTTGGAAAGATACTTCATGTAGCGCCATGGATGCTGCAGGGTATCAGGCATTCATTACAGAAATAATTGCACTTTTAATTAAAAGATGCATTATCTCTGAAAGAAACATTTGTAGAAGTTGCATATTAGTGTATGAAAGCATTGAAATGGGAGATGTTTTATTTAGTGAAGTGCAAGATGCTTTCTTATCTTTTAGCTGAGAAGTTGGAACTGCACCAAAATCTCAGTCCTCTGAAATCCCCCATTCCTGTGGAATTCCTGGCTCTAGCGTGCTTGCTTCCTCTTACGTTCTCCCGACCTCCCTGGCTGTTACGGTGCTGTATTAAGAGGTGTAGGGATTTTTTGGAGTGCATTTTGTGTATTTTCATTCTATGTATATTTTCTTCTTTGCAGATGAAAATAAAGAGTGTGAAATTATGGAAAAGTGGAAGTATAGTAGGGTGTGTGTGTATAGAATATATATAAAATGTGTCTTTGGCAGAGAAATTGTTGTCTGTCTGGTACACTTTTCTCCCCACCTCTTGCTGTCAGGATCCTGCTGAGTCGCTTCTCCCATCTTTTAGCAGCCCAGCGAATATGGCTTTTGAAGAAGAAAAAATGTGGATTCTCTGCTCATCCAGATGAGTGCCTGGAGCAAAGCGATGCAGGATGCTTTTGAAAGAAAGCCAGGAACATGGGGACATTGATTTTTGTCATTTGTACCCTCCAAATGAAGGAAGATGGGGTCCAAGGATGGGGCCTGTTGGTGACACGATTAAGAGGGAGAGGGTGTTTGCACAAGACTCRCATCTTCTGGCATTTATAGAATAAAGCCCTAACTTAAAATTTGGAAAGGTGGCAGAAGCTCATTCAAACAAGTATTAATTAATATAACTAATATGTGAATTCATTTAGTTAATGCACAATTGAACACCAGATAGACACTGTTGGTACCCCTTTGAAAACTTACTTTGAGGTCAGGAAAAACTACCGAGTCTTGAGAGCGCCTGTTCCCGAGGAGGGAATTGAAGCCTGGGTTTCCCAGAGCGTTGTGGTCCTGCACAGAGCACGTGAGAGCTGCCCCAGCTCGGTGATGGGGATGGCTAAGTCGCCTTCCTCTGAAAACAGGCTCCAGATGTGTTGCTGTGGGTTGATCCTCGCTGGCAGGCTCTGCTGCAGCCATTCCTTTCCCAAGGGACTTCCTCAGGATTGCTCTGTAACTAGGAGTTGCTATTTAGTACTTGGGTATCTGCCTATAATTTCTCTTAATGCGAGTGATTGGGATTGCTGGAAACTAAGATGTTACTTAGCAGACGTGTGGCAAGACGCAGCTTTTCTGAGAGCTGCCTTAGACTTAGCACATTTGGAAAATAATAATTGGTTTCACTTGCATATTTAGTCCATTTAGGAGTAAGTGGGAGAATGGAAGCCTTGTTTAATACCCTGTCTGGACTTGGTTGYGTGAGACAAGTTGCTGTGTTATTGTGTGTGTTGCCTTCCTGTGATGGGATAGAGTTAAAGCAGGGAAATATTGAGTGAGCAGCATCTCCTCTGTGATATTTATTCACAGAATAAAGTGCAAGATGGCACCAACTTTGCCTTGGCCTGCCTCAGACACGATTCTTCACCTCCCTATGTAAAATTACTGCATTTCATAGCTGGGTAGGTGACCGAGGTGTCTTTATGCAAAACTGCCTGTACGTAGGTTACTGCACTTCATCATTACCTGAGCGCTGAGTTTCCATGCTCACAAACGGAGGGAACATTTGATGAACAGCTAGCAACTTCTAAAGACATCCCCTTAATGGCAGGAGTGTCCTACAAGTAATGTATCTTGACTTGAAGGTGGCCACAAAGCACAGCAATGGGTGATAATCCTCCTTTTACCATTGCTTTACAGATGTTCAGTGACAGGTACAGTGCTGCAGACAGCACGATAGTGCAAATGCAGGGTGACTGTTGTGTTTCTAGAGCGGGAATAATTTAATTCTGGTGCAAGTTGTCAAAAGTGCACGCTACTTAAATTCATTGCAAGTGAMCTGGGAGATTCACAATACCCAAGAAATAAACCAAAACCCACGTAAAACATATTTTATGCAAAACAATTATGCAGGGAGGTTTTTTATTATTATATTAAGCAGGAATATGCTGCTAGGAATGGCTGCAACTATGTGCCTTGAAGCTAAGGAAACTGCAATAGCAGCACCTCTGAACTGGACCGTGGGGACTTGCTGGGTTCCCTGGGCCAGGGCAGCCCCACTGAATGGGACTTCACAACCTGTGAGCAGCTGGAGCCATTTGGGGTTTCATTCAGGTGTATGCCCCAAATCTCTCTTTTTCCAGAAATAAAATGAAGTCTTGCATTTTAAGGCTTGTCTAATTAGTGTTTGTTCATCTGCTCATCTGTTCATCAGTATCTCATTAAATTCACCATAAAGAAAAACAGATGAAAGGGAGCAAAACTGTAGTGGGACCATCACTTGGTGTGTGTTGCTGTGGGAGGCTGCAAAAGGCATCTTACGCAGAAAGCTTGAGTCTTTGAGTGATTTTTTCSTTTTTTTTAAATTTGGAAGTCTTCCCTGATGAAGATAATGTCAAAAGCACAGTTATAAATATATTGTTAGGGAAATGAATCACTGATGGCACTAAAACTATTGCAAATTCATGCTCTAGTGAAGCCCTTGAAAGCAGAGTTTGACTGCGAAGTCCTAGCAAGGGCAGTTCTGATATTGGTGCTTCAGGGCCATAGTAACAAAACAACTTTTCTGAATCTCAGAACATTCATAATTTTCCTCCTGCAGAGCAAGCCATGGCCAAAGGCTTTGCTTTTGGAATTAGTTGGATATTTAGCTTTTCTTTAATTAGAATAGCAGCTCTTGTTACACTTGCACCTTTGCAGTGGCTCTGGAGCATTGAAGGGACCAGCAGGTGCTGCAGTGGTTCTTTGGGAATCGTGCACAACAATTCTAACCCCAAGATGAAGGAAACATATTCCGTGAAAAGTACTTTTTTGTTTTTCTTTTGTTCCTGTGYCCATAAGGACAACTTGAGATTTGAAATGTAAATGGCTGTAAATGTGTGCTTTGAAGATAAATATGTGAAATGTTTTCCTTGGGAATGATTGATTATGAATGCTGTTGTATTAAGTACAAGCAAACATCACCCCAAGTTTTTAGGTATCAAATTGGATCTTATCCAGCCAAATGCTCTCTGGAGGGCAGGCTGATGTGTATCTGTTTCTCCCTYTTACAGCTGAGTTTTAGCAGCCTTGGTTGTCCTTTGCAGCCAGTAAGAGTGTGGTGCAGACTGCCTGGGAACCTGGGGAAGAGGCAATCGCAGCCTGTGGCACCAGGGCGCTGCTCTCCTGGGCTTCCTTTCCACCTGGGGCTTTTCAAGGGGCCGGAGAGAAGTTTTTCCCTCACTTAATGTTGAGTTTAGATGTTTGTGCTTTCACTGGGACATCCATATTCTGCTTAACTGTAACAAGGCCGGTTGCTTAAACTAATGGGAGCTCAAGCTACCTGTTAGAAGAGCAAACAAACAGACAGCCCAATGTCTGTTCATTTAAGCACAGGGGCTTCTGGAAACCTTAGCAGTGTGGAGCACTTCTTTGAAAGGATTTGGTCGATACCTCTAGCTTTGCCTCACTGAGCGTGACAATCCCCGAGAGATTAAATAGCTGTCGCCATCAGAGCCTTTCCCAGTTTTTTTCTTTCTATTTCTGCACACATGGAAAAGTCTAGGAAGGCTTGTGGAGCGTTGCGGGGGTTTCGTTGCAGTTCTCCCTGCAGTTTTCCCTGGCAGTTTCAGTGCCAGCCTGTCTCCCGACGGCTCTCCTAGGCTCTTCTAAGTGTCCGATGGAACCTGCCAGCCCTGGAGCTGTGGGCAYGTCCTGCATCCAGTGCCGGCTGCCTCGGCATTTGTTTCCTTGCCTTCTCCTGGTGGAAGCATGGCTACGTGCTGGGTGGGTCGAATAGCAGCCAATCTGCAGTAACCCCCATCAGGTTGTGTGTGTCGTGTTTTAATGTTGTTTCTAAAACTACTTAAAATGAGTCGTTGGTAGGAAATTTGGGGAAAACCTGCATGGGGCGTGTTCCAGCCTACCAAGTGAGCTGCATTCTTAAATGGACGCTGTACTTGTTTATGTGGCATAAAAACTTCTTGCATGAATCAAATGGAGAAAATTTACAGTCTAGCTACAGTCTGTTCTGGAAAACAGAGCTCTTCTCTMTTTTTCCATTACAATGGTAATGTTTTTTCTTATGCACATATTTATAATCTGGCTTTGTGTCTGGCAGTTTTTATAATCAATAAGCCCTTTTTTTGCATGATATAGATTGATATATATCTATTGATGCCCATATATATACATACATATATAAATTTTTTTACCTCCTGCTCTTTGGGAACAGAAATAGCTGAACCCAGAGGAGAAGCCTTGCTGTGTGCCTCATGAGGCACATGACTCATGAAAGTGTTTTTGTCGAATCTACTTTACAGGTCTACATTTTTACTGTGGAATGATAAAGGAGAAGACCATGGTCCAGTCTAATGTAGCCTCTGGGTATAGTTCACTTGGGATTCTTGGTTTGAGGAGGAAYAGGATATAAAATAAAATCAAAGTCTTAACAGAAACAGTTATATGAAGAAAATTTTTGTTTTTGTTTTTTCTCTCTATCAAACCCTGTTGTTTCAGCCTGAGTGGGAGGGACAAGGAGGATATTCCACATGAACACAAAAAGAAACCACTTACTGACARACTTGCCTTTCATTTGTTTGATATCACTGAGCCTCTCACTGACATGAAGCACAAATTTGGGCCTTCGCAGAAGTTAGTAACTTAAATATGTTGAAGGCATCCTGAAGTGTGCTTATTTTTTGTAGTTTTCTGGGGTATCTACTTTTTTGAAATAAGTGCTGAAGTGGTGGTGGTCAATATTGCCAACCCCTGGTTGCTCTGTTTTCCCCAAGYATCATCTTTTACTGCATGTAGACACAGGCAACTAGGCACCGTTTCCAGCACCCACCAAGATGCAACCCCCCCTCACACACACACACAAACCTGCTCCAAAACAGAAAAGCAGGTAGAGCAAAACAGCTCAACTTTGAGTTTTATATATGTTTTTATATACGGATGTGTGTGTCTGTTGCTTCCCTTCTGGGCTGGTTTCTGTCTCTGGTGGCCTGGGAGCTTTAGCCTGTGCAAGCAGACGGCTTTAAAGCAGCAGCGTCCACCCGTGTGCTGAGCTCCTCATRCTGTTATTAATGCTATCTGTTGATCACAACTTATTTCATTAATTAACATTATTGATAAGCAGAAGTCTCAGCTTTTTCCCCGAGTCTGTAAAGATTTTTGCTTTCTCTCCTGTTGCCTTTCCTTCCTGTGTGTTTTGTTCTGGCTGAGCTACAGCTGAATCAAAGCAGAGAGTTCAGCAGGTCTGTCTGTAGGCAGTGAGATTTATGTGCATCTTAATCTGCAAAGGGTTTGAGTTTCAATCAATTCTCAGGACCTGTAGCAAGAAAAACATATTCTTTTCTCCTGAGTCTTTCTCACAATAATCTTGTTATTGAGAAACATAACTGACAGGCAAGGTCATCAGCCCATAGAAGGAAGAACCTCCTAAAGTGTTTTACAGAGACTTTGAAGTAATCAGGGTGTGTGGTGGTTCTATTTATTTTATTTTATTTATTTATTTTTGCATAGAGTCAGTTAAACTATTGCTCTGATAGGCAATGAAAATAAATGACTAATCGCAGTGTGACTGTGACTTGATAAGACGAAAGATTATAGGATATTAATGACTCCTTGGATTTTTTTTCTTTGTTGCTGCTTTTGATTAAAAAATAATAGTGATTTTTCTTTTCCAAACTTGCTAGCTGTGGCTGAGGAATGCAAGAAAGTAACCGTGGAAAGATGTGCTCTTACATTCGGAAGARCCACTACTGTCTTCAAGGCTGGATAGTGAGGTTATGATTTTGAACAGTGTGGTAGTTTATAGCTATGGATAGTGCTTGAAGCTCTGCAAGGCAATAGTTGGAAAATTGAAGCTGCTTTTTGTATGATGATTGTTTTCCAAGGTTTAGGTCCAGGGAAGCTTTATGGACTTAATGTCGCTGTGCATATTACCCCTGTGCAGCACCCTGGAGTAAACAGGGCTGTATCCGTGTCCGTTGTGTTTGGGACAGATGCTTTCTTCATCTCTAAAGGGCAATGATAACAGCAAAGAACATCGTACAGTGGTGGGAAAATATCCCAGTAAATGGAGGTGGCTTCTTGCAGAGCTTCCTAGGTTGTGCCGTGGGCTGCGAGACAACACTGGTTTATAAGGTCTATGTTTCCTTTCACAAGGAGGCATAATGCAACTGAATTTTCAGAGCATCAAATATAAGTTAAGCTCTCTGAAGCTGAAGAAGCATCTTCCCTGCCATGGAGAGAAGATCCCTGCCCGTGCAGCCTGTGGCTGTGTCGGACGTGGGGGATTCTCCTGTTTGCTTGAAGGCCCCTCCAGCCCCAGTGCAGGGTTAATGGGCTGTTGATTCAATTTGGWGCCTTCCAAAGTGGAGCAGCAAGTGTTGCGAGCACTGTTAAAAGGTTAATCAGGAGGCACAGGCAGGCTCTGAGGGCAAGGCGTTGAAGTCATCCAGCTTAACAAAAAGAAATTAATGTATTTCAGGATGGAGAAGGAAAGAGGGAGAAGGAGGAGGATGCAATGAGCATGTGAAAGATTTTACTCTTCGTGCCTTTCTTGTAAACAGATAAGCACCTGTTAGAGGAGAACCAAAACCCTGTTTGGATCTGCATTATGGCAGATTATTTTGACTGAGATTCTACACATACCTCCTTAAATGCCTGAATTTGGGGACTCYATTTGAAAGGAGGTGGGGCAGCTTGAGGCCTCTTCCTGGACCCGGCCTGCAAAGGATTTGCTCTCAGCCCTCCTTGAAAATCAGGTGCCTCCTTGAGGTGCTTATAACAAAGGAGACAGAAATGAAGGCTCCTTAAAATGCTACTCATTTGAAAATGTATGCTGTTATTTGGACTTTAATTTTGTGCTTTCTTTGCTTAGAGTTTGATCTTTGTTTTCCCAAATCTGAACCCGTTCCTTTAGCCTTTCTATATTCTATTGGAAACCTCTTACTAAACCTATTTAGAAAGTTTATAATATGTAAATATATATATATATAATTAAAAAAGAAACTCCTGATCATTTTGCTGAACAAGTCAAACAGTTCTGCTAAAAATAAACGGGAATTATAAGTTTTGTCTTAATGACAAATAAGCAACTCTAAAATGCAGATGGTAAGAACGAAGTAAGTACTCCCATTGCCTTAAACTTGCTTAGAGGGATATGGCAACATGATGACTGAAAGCACAAATTCACCAAAAAGTAAAATTTTCCAGGGTAATATAAGAGCTYATTACTGAAACTCAGTGTTATTCTGTCATGTTACTTTTAGTTACAATTCTTACACCAATGAATCTAGGGAAGTATTTGGAAATTAACCGCACAGGAATTAGCTCAGAGATATCAGCACATTACTATTACTCTTCCATTTATGCTAATACCATTCCTTATTAAGTTAATCATTCATTGTCATGAGCAATGTCCAGCTTGCATAAAACTCCTCTCAGTCCTTGCTTCCTGTCTTGGAGTTAATTTCTCAATTTCCTAACTTTYGTAACCCTTTATTTGCTTTCTGGCATGATTTTCCCATCTAAGGAATACAAGTGCTTTACAACCTGTCATTTGTGTAGCATCAGTAGAAGGGGTCCCGTAATGAATTTATGGACAGCTTGGGAATTGTGTGCAGCTCCAGCATTTCCATGTATGTGCAGCTTCCATCACTATCAGAAATGCCACGAAATGCTGGAGCTGGCTTAACTTTTGAGTGTGTGTGTGGGGGGGCTTGTTTTTCTTAAGTGAAATGACTTTCATGGTAAAAATATTTTGTATTAAGGCACCTGGTATTTATCCTGGTATCTGGAACTAGTTGACTTCTGCTTACTTCTTGAATGATATGCCAAAATCCCCTTAACTTTAACACAATTTTTGAATCATCCTACTGTTTGATTTGAAAATAAAGTAGATAGGAAAAGACACTTCCCAGTTTAATACTACTCCAGCCACAGTGCATGGTGCTGTGATGCTGGATAGCATTTTGTATTTTGGTAGTGTTGGTACATGTAGATAAACAAAAGTGGATGGTACATTAACTAAAACTAGTGCCCTGAATTTTATGTGTCCAGGCAACTAATTCTGGTATTTGTWTTTCTGTTATACGGTGTGATGACTATGAGGTTCTTATGGGGCCAAAAAACTCAGAGAATGTGTAGTTACAGAAGACAGGAGAGAAGAGGTGCTGTAAGGGAAGCTGGTGTCCAGACTTGCCTCTGTTTCTTGGCCTGGAGCCAGGGTGGATGAGCAGTGCAGTGTGTTTCAGGAGTGCTGATTTTAGCATGTTGGTTAATGGTGGAACTTGCACAGATGTGGCAAGAGCCACAGCACAGTGGCAAAGGCCCCAAAAGGGAGGCTGTGCAGTTGTCCCCACTGTGTGTGGAGCCTTTCGTGCTCCTCTGAGGGGAGGTTCTGCAACCTCCAGGCCAAGTTCTGCCCTGGTTATTCATTGCAATATCCTTGGAAAGGCAAACAGCCTTCAGCGGGATCCCTTTCTAGTCCCTGGACTTTGGAAAAGACTTTTCGCTCCGTTGCAGCCCTTAGCAGGTCACGGAGCAGCGGTGGACGTGATTCTGCCAATGAGCTGCCTGCCTCGGGAGGTGTGTTTTGAAATATAAACTATGAAAAAATGTTGTCGTCTTCTGCTTATTGATCCAGTATGAAATTGTGACTGGTTACAGGTGAAAAGCTGATACGGGAGACTTTGACCGAATATTATATGTGTGTGCTTTCAAGCATCCCCTCCTCTTAGCTCTAATAATGCTGTGGTTTTTATTTGTTTGTATTCTGAGTAGTATAACAGTTAGGAGTTTAAGTCAAGTGAAAAACAATTGTGTAAGCCAAAGAAGAGAGTGTTTTACTGTGATAAGAGTTTTCCAATAAAGTTAGAAAAGAATGGCTATCCAGATTTTGGAGATATTTTTTCTGGAATTCTGTGCTCAGTTCTAGGCCACCCATGGCCCTACCCTCCTAAGGTAGATGCTCCCAGGTGAAAGAGGTGCCCCTGGAACTGGTGCGGATTGTGGCTTCCTCATGGGTTAGGAATAAGGCGCGACTTGTTTGCCTGGAATGTTTTTTTTTGACAAAATTAGTCCTTACTGATTCTCAAGGGAAACTTGCTTGCCTTATGCTGCAGTGCTGAAATGGTTCTTTGGCTCTGTGTTCTGGCAGCAGCCTAGTGGTTAATAAGAGTGTGTTAGCCTTTTGCACAAGTGCTCTAGTTGTTTGTGGAAAAGCATATCATTAGAGGGCTTCCACTGGAGAACTGGCTTATGTAGCAGCCTCGTATCTGAGGAGTAGAAGAGTTGTTCTTTTTCTGTTGATCTTAGTTTATATTTTCCTGGTATTTTTAGAAGCCACTCACACACTCTAAAAGGGCTTTCATATGTCCATCCTTACATATTTCATTTCTCATGTGTTTTGATGGGAGTGTTTGGAGGCACTGATTTGTCCCAGGTTTTCCATGGATCCCATTGATTCAAGTAGCAGGGCAAGAAAGGGACCTGACTAGAAGAGTCTCTTTCAAACATCACAGTGACACACCATGGGAAACCTGTAATGTTTTATAGCACTAAGAGGAAGAAAAGCAAAGCAGGAGAATGTTAGTATGCTTCACTAATTAACATAATGTTAAATAATCATTTATAATAATTATAAACGATTATTTTAGATTCCTTAAACATTCCTTTTTTACCTTCATGTCTTCATCTCCACGGGTTATTCTGAATGCTTATTTCCTACATGAAAGTAGATGTTTCTTTGAAAACTTCAGCAACACTAACAGAAGCATTTTCCAGTAAAAGAAGAATAGGAAATGCATGCTCTTTCAACTATTGCTTCATTTGATCAATTACGGAAGAGAGAGAGAGAGAGAGAGAGAGAGACAAAAATTGAGACTGAAAGATGGCAGTGTCTGCACTGGGGAAGGTGTGAAGACTAGTTTGATTTGGATGAAGCACAGTCCTTTGAAGACCTGCATAAACGTGAAGCACTTGTGATTTATATTTCATCCAAAGGTTTATGTGATGGTAGGCTGCAGTGTGTTATTCCCACGTAGCTGGCACATGCCTACACCAAAGCTTCAGCTAGAATCTGAAGCAGAAGCCATTAAAGGGGCCTGTGGAATTCTCATAGCTGACTGCAGTCGATATTTAATCAGGCCCTAGTGAACACTGAGAAATGCTGTAGCTAGCAGCTAGGCCAAATGGACCAAGGTGGGTGCTGATGCATCCCCTTGCTGTGCTCATTCAGTGCAGGAGCTGGCGAATGATGACATTTGATGGCATGTATTATTTTCTTTAACTGTGAAAGATGCATTTTGTCAGGTTGGATGTGACCTTTTAGTCACAGGTGAAATCTTTGCCTTATTTAGTGCTTGTGTGGACATTAATCCCAGCAAGCTCTACACTGTAAGCTGGAAGTAGCGGAATGTTCCAAACTGTCACGTACGTGAAGTGGGAATCGGTGCTTACTGAAGTAGCCTTATATCCTCAATAGCTCTTGTCAGTCTGCATGGCTCCTGCTACAGRTACAGGAAATGAAGATGAGTAGGGTATTTATTGGGTGTGAACTGTCTTAATATTTGGAATGCTTTGCTGTAGATGGTAATGCAACGTGTACAAATAACACACGCCGACAGGAGGCAGAGAAAAATAATGGGAATTGTTACGGATAAATGTGACTGCAGATTTTGTTTAGTGTCTTTTGCAATCAATCTGTTAAGTCGAATGCTAAAATATCCTAATTACCCAGTAGCTTCCCGCACAACTGGGTGCCTGGTTAGCAGCCCCTGTGAATACTGGTACCATTACCCGGGTTGCTTGGATCAGTGTTGGGCGGTTGGGTCCAACACAACGAGAGGACCCCTGGGGGAAGCAGATCGAGCCCCGTGGCGGCAGGGCCGCTGCTGCGTTACCAGAGGGGCCTGCAGCGCCCGACTGGGGTCATGGCGGGAGCAGCGCCGCCATTAGCGGCGCGGGCCTTGGGCCTGCACGGCCTGCCCGCCGAGCACTGCCCGCTTCCCCGTCACAGCTTCCTTGTAGTGTGTGTGTKTATGTATACGAGTGTGTATATACATATATACTTGCTGTGTATGTGGTGTATTCACAGCAACAGATGTGTGTAGCTATGAGCCCACTTCTGCTTGCGGTGATGGGTGATATGACGGAATGTCGGCACCTCTTAGGAATGGAGCTCACGTGCGAATACGTTATAAACAGAAAATCTTAAAAATAGAGACATACCTCTAGCAAAACTAACTAATTTCTCTTTCTCCTCAAGGCTCCTCAAAACACTTTTCTTAATTAACTTCAAATCATCATGAAAAATCTTCTTTTGCTAGACACACTAGGGAGATTTTCAAGTAGGAGCGTGCTTCACTTTCTGAAAATAAGAGAAGGTATGAGTGGCCAGATGGGTTTTATCATTAGGTCTTTATCACATCTTTACCCAGTGAATCACTGCTCCTGCAACATAATATAAAATTATATATATTTCCAAGTGTCAAGGCTTCTCGTTTAAAGCTTAACTCAGTTTTAAATCCCTGTGGAAAGGAAAGGCCTTTAAAATACTTATTAAATTCTAATCTTAATCATATTCATCATTATTAAAATTTGAAATAGGTTGAAATACTTAAGGTAAGTGAAATGAAAAAACTAATAAGAGGCATGAGACACACTGGAGAAATGGAAGAATAATTGCTGCAGATTAAGAAATCTAAAATGGCCAAACATGAAGAACCCTTCATTTCCAATAAGCTTTTAAATAAAAGTTTTGCAGCAACTAAATAATACAAAGGGGATTTTAAAAATGAATTTAATGTTAAGTGCAGCAGAGTGGCAAGAAATATTTAAATACATTAAAATTTAAACTAGTCCTGTCTTTGGGTTTCAAGTGCTATTTAGGCCTTATCAGTTCTTGAGAGAATGGTTTCTTCCCTCAGTGAGGAGGCAACAGTATTGTTGTTGTTATAATCATAGCAAATAATAATAGTATTATTAATGATGTAATAACAGCATTCATAGTAAGTGGTGCTTAAGAATGGCAAGGTGCTGCAAGCGCATCAAGGTGCTGGCTTGGGCAATGTTGTACAGATAGGACAAAATGATTTCTCCCTTCAGGGAAAGAAAGTATACATATGAAAGAAAAGACCTCTTAATATTTTGCCTTTAATTACAAATGGGAAGAGGTGGTCAAAATAATGGGTTTGTGTCGTATTCTTTTTTTTCCCCTGCTGGTGAGAGGAAATTACTGTTTCTGGGAATATTGCCTAATTATTGAAATATATTTGCGAAGCGGTTTTGGGAACCATAMAGGCCTTTTAGCCAGGATTGTACCTAGGAAGCTCATAGAAAGGGACTTTTTATGTGGTATACTTTGCTGTGGGATATGTAGTCAGTGTGAGATAGGAATTTAACATTAAAAAAAAKAATCTTAGAATTTTGTTTTTCTTTCAGGGATTACTTACCTTGACCATGCGGGCTCAGCTCTCTTCCCAGAGAGTCTGCTTAAAGCTTTCACGGATGACCTGCGGGACAACGTTTATGGTAAGCAGCATGCAGCCTTCTCGGCACTCCCCTCATGTTTCCGTCAGAGCAGCTGGGAGCGGGGCCTCRGGAGCTGTGGGATGAGTGCTGCTGTGCAGTAATTCCAAGACTAGTGACTGCACAAAGGAGTCAGTCTCCTTAATTCCTCCCTCACTTTGCTCTTTTGTTGGCCGAGGCAGGTCTGGGTGGAGGAGACCTGCCTGCCCTGGCAGAGGTCGATTACAGCTAGCACACCTTGTCCGCCAGCGTTTGGGACTTTTTGCCTCCCTTGCCATTGTAGTTTCACTCTAAGCTCAGCACCATTTGTTCAGTCAGTTCTTGTTTGTTTTCTCAGAAAACACAAAAGCATTTCCTTACACATGGAGCACAATTGAGAGCTCTTGCCTGTGTGAGCACTGTCACTTCTTCGTGTTTGCTTTCCTTCTCGGCCCTGCAAATCTTGCCCTCCTCTGCTGTCGGGTAAAGGAGCCTTAAGGCCGTCACTGAGAGGTGACAGCAACCTTCATGACACTCTCCCCAAAGTAGTTGCCTTTGCATTTTTGGGGGGGAGTTTAGGGAGAGATTACAAGCACAAAGATGTGAATGAAATCTCTGGCTGAGGAGGATCCCAAYCTGCAAATTAACAGAAGTTGCCAGAAGATACTAGGGAAAGAGTCYGAAAGCAGAAGCATGGAGTGGCTCTTGTGTGCAAGATGTGCAGAACTAGGCTTTGTGACCCTAGCTTTGTCCCAGTATAAACATTTTATCTCCTAGAAAGCTTAGCCCCAACATCCTAAATGCCCTTAGGCAGAGGGTAAATGCACTACCTCTGCCTGTTAGGCTTTGGTAAGCACTCAGTGAAAACTAATGTGTAGGGCCATAGCAATCTGAACCTAAAAACAAGAGCAGATATGTCTCCAAAACCAGGCAATAGCTGAATGGAAACATAGGTACTGCAGCTGTGGATGTGGACACTTCTGCTTCACCTAGTATCATTTCATCCCCAGGTCCTCTAAGATCTTCTGTCTCTTTAGATCTTTTGAGCCTGACTGCCCTTTTATAGAAAGCCAGCAGCATTCATAGTTTGAGAAATACTTTTATTGTAAGACATTTAGTACTGTATTAATACTGTACTGTATAGAGTACTGTAGAAAGTACCATAGAAGAGTCATTCAACAGGTGGGAGAAAAAAAGCTACTGCAAAGTATTATGTGCGGTGAATAGTCCCCCTCAGGTGATCACAATTTCTTACTGTGTGTTAAGTCTGTGGGCCACAAGACCTTTTTGCTGGTTTGTCTTGCTTGTGCTTCATGAGGCTGTGAGCAATGCGATCCCTCTCTTTTGAGGTACCAGTACACAAAAAGAAAGTGATGTTCTCTCAAGCTCTGGGAAGAGCTGGAGCACAGTGGTGATTGCAGCTCAGGTGAGCCACTTCAGAGTCACGCAGGTTTCGTTTCATACACTCTTCTGTCATCTTTCCCCSCCTTGCCTCTTGAGTGCTGCCAAGGACAGGATTTAGAGCATGGATTTAGTCCCACAATGAATGAGAAGTGTTTTCACATAGGGATAGGGTTGCTTCTTGTTGTGGTTGTTTCAACAGGATATGTTTCATTTGATTACGTTCAAAATTTCCTATTCATGTGCATTGTCAGAACAATTCATGTCCTGTCACTACAGCCTTTGTAAAGCCAAATGTATGTACTCTGATCTTAGCGCTTTTAAATAACACTGGGCTCAGCCCTTACATATGAAGTGCCATCTGTGGTGGGGGAAAAAAAATTAATTTGTGAGTCAATTGGAATGTTCATGAATGGAAATAGTTGTGCTGCCACTTGCAAGTAGATTTGCGTAATACCTATAATGCTCTTTGAGAGCAAATCCTATACTGCTTTCATCTAAAATGATAACAAGATTCCTCCTTTGCCTTGGACTCCTGCTGCTCTAAGGGCAGTAACTATTGTATAGAAAGTGGCTGTTGAAGGRACACAGTGGAGTTTGGCTTCCAGGTGGTTCTCTTCTCTCCCTTGGTGATAATCCTCAGGCCTGAAGAACTGCAATTTAGTTTTTGTATGTGTAAATGAGAGAGAATGTAAGAGATGTTCCCTTCTAAATTAAGAGTATCTGAATTGTGAGTTGCAGAAATGCAATGTCAAACATGAAGAGTCTAGGTATTAAATTTTGAGTTGAGTTCTAAATTTCTTATTCATTTTAACACCTTTACTTGAGAACTTCCAAGCTCAGGATTTTGAAAATGGAAAAAGAGAAGAGCCGATACTGTATTTTACCTTAAAAAAAAAAAAAAAAAAAAAAAAAAAAGGATTGTATTAATATAGAATTATTTTTCTTTCCTTTCAAAATATTCAGGCATGTTCTTAAGCACTTACAGGAAAGAATGCTATATCTGTGTATATACAGTTACCTTTTCCTCAGAGATTAACTTATGCCTTTATAAGCACTCTGTTAATTGCTGATGCATGTCTGCACTGAGTTGTACCTAGGTGTTTAATAATTTTGCAATAAAATGTGTATTTTGACAACTTCCTGGTATTTCAGACTCTTATCCCCTTCCACCTTTTTTTAAATAATCCTGGTGTCTGATTGTGAATGTCTATTGCCTATATATGCTGTCCTCTAATTCACCTGTGAATGTATTTATTAATGTGTACATTAAATCTGTAGTTTTTGCTAATGAAATGGCATATGCACTTGTATTTTTCTTTTAAGAGAACTGCCTGAGTATTAATAATGGCTCTAGCTGAAGTTTCAAGGTCTGTTGTAATTACTTTCTTCTCTGTCCCTTCTCTTGTTTAACTGCTCTGAGGAGCTTCAGGGCATTGCTGTGAAGTATACATTAAATCTTTCTTTGTCATCTTTTGAGGCTGACTTGGTGCAGTACTTTGATAAAAGAAAAAAAAATAATAGAAAAAGTGTGATTAATGATTAACTTCTGTATCTCTATTGTCTCCTAGGCAACCCTCACAGCCAGAATATCAGCAGCAGGCTGACGCATGACACAATCGAGCATGTCCGATACAGGTAGCATCAGCTTTCCTTCTGATAGTGTATGATGCACATCCTGGTTTTTATTTTGATTAGGCCTGTGCTAATGATTTGATATGATGCTGTTTTCTGTGTCATTTCTGTGTCATCTGTTACATCTTTGCACATTGCCTGTAAAATACATGAAGTGCTTGCATAGTTAAATRTTGGAGAGAGTTAGACAGCTGAATTTTTTTTCTCCCAGTTGCTCCAATTCTCAAATTCCTCTAGTTAAATTAGTCTACAATTTTAATTAAGATAGAGAAGTTGAAATCTCAAAGGAAAAATGGTGATGATTATTACTAAGATGGTATGGCAAGATAGGAAGATGGAAAAAAGTGCAAGAACGTGGTTAAAATTCAGCTGAAATATTAAATAGGGCCTAATGGCTTGAAGGAATTTGTAAAAGGCTTATGGGAATGTGTATTTTGTTTTATAGCAGGTACTTCTGTAGGAGTAATGAAATACCTATTAAAGTAGATTTAATGTCATTTTTTAAGAGCAAAAAGAAAAATAAAARGGAGAGCTGAGTGTTGGGGCTTCTGGCTATGGTCAGGAAAGTGAACTGAATTTCTACATAAAGTATCCCCCCTAAAAGTTCAGCATAGGTTGTACCTACAGTGTACTCTGATATTAATTTGCACCAAATGGGGAAATACACAGCTTGGTATTTTTWAAATTTTTTTAAAGGTAGAGCTTGCCAATTTTTAAGATGTATTTTTATTGAAGAATATGCTTTGATTGGGGTTGATTGACAGACTTTTAATGGAGCTATTTGCCTAAAGTAAGAAATTTCACAGATTCCTCTTTGTTATTTCGTCATCCTTAAAAGCAGAGATGTATCGAAAACACATCACAGAATTCAGATCAATAGCAGTGCTAGTATAACAGGATAATATTCAGAATTGTGATGAGGAAAATCTGTTCTACCTCTTTTTGCTAACTTTTCTCTGGCCATGTTTTCATACAGGTGTAAATCTCGATCTCTAGCTGGAAGATGCTGCAGGCTAAAAACCTGCTCTTTTGATTTTGTTTAACTTTGCAAAATTTTCTTTGCCCCTTCCACAGTCCTGTCTTATGCTGTGCAGGTTGGCAACCTATTAATGTAGGGGCAAATGAAATGAAGGGGACTCCCTCCCTTTAAGGACTGGTTTCTTTTGTAATCAGAGGCTTAGAGCAAAACCACCTGCAGCCCTGAAGTCTTGTTGAGTGTAGCTGTGGGCTTACATGTAACATCATAATTCTGGTTGGTAATACATAAATAAATAGCACTTATTCTGTGTGATATTTCAGTGCTTTGCATTTAATCACTTCTTATGAAGTACAAGTTCTTTGTGGTTGTTTCAAGAATAATTACTGTAGTGCTCTGTTCTCCATTGTTGTAAAGCAAGAAAATAGCCTTTCACTGGGTAACTTGCACAGATTTCTTTMGAAGAGCTGGCATCCTCAGTTTCTGTTTGGAACATGGTTTAAAAGAGCATGAGATGTCCATCAGAGCAGCAGGGGAGAAGCCAGGGAGCATACCAGTGGTTATTTTCTTTTGTTCTTAAACAAACAAAAATGAAAGAAATAAAAATAAAGGGGAAAGAAAACACAAAACACTAAAACKATACACTCTACCTCCAAATAAACATGCTTGGTATTGCACCTAATAGAATTTGTCAGCTGACTACTGGCCTGATGGAAATTCAGCTGTTATTCCCCAATAAAATTTAAAAAGTAGTCTCATCAAAAAGGCATAGTCATAAAAATTCAGGAAGAAAATGCCCCAAAAACTGTCTCGGTAATTTGGTCGTCTCGAAGGCAATAAAAGTATATTAAAAAATCTATACTTTCTTGCTGCTGCAGCCAGTCAAAGCAAGCAATATGACGAGACAGGGAAACTGGCCGCTCTGTCCTCATCACAGCCTCAGGTTTCCTCAGGGAAGGAGTAATTCAGCAGGTAGTTTCAGAAATCTTGAAAAGACTYGCCTGCCCTTAATCCTGTTTTAGAAGCTTGTCCGTAGCCTGAAGTACTGCTCTTTCCAATGAAAGGCTCCATGATACTCTGAACTTCAAAAGAAAGAAGAAAAAAAGAATTACTTGATTTCTCTGATGGGATTTCAGGAGCAACTAATGAAAAAATAAATGCAAAGCTTAATTTGTGGCATGAATTTGTTGATATTGATTATAAAAGCATCGGGATGGAATTTCCTAATCTGGATGTGTAAACAGTTCCACAATGCAAAGCTGCATGATTCGGTTCCACCTTGATATTCACTTGACAGATATAAACTGTTCTTAGAAAATAGGTTGACTCTTTTCTAGGACTACTCAGAAAAACCTCTTTACCAACCCAACTACAGTAAGAGTAAAAAATAACTATTTTATTCTTAAAAAACAATTTTTCTCTTTGCTTGAAATATTGAGAGGTTTTTAATGTTGTGTGCATCTTTATATTACTCATGAATGTCACCAAAAAGAGGAATCAAGAACTAAAATAAAACTTCCATAAATGTGTTAAATGTACCCATCAAGAGGTCTCTCTCTGTCGTTGCTTATTGCTGTTTGGAAATGCCATTGCTCCACCTCTGCACAGCTCAAAAACAGGAATGCAATATCTGCTTGTGATGCTAGGAAGATAATACAGCAAAGAAATTCGTTAGAGTGAGTGTAAAATAACCTTTTTCCATATGTAAGCATTTTAAAATACTTGCTATCTGAATATTTTAAGACGGTGACCTTGTAGATCTTGTGCTTGCAATCAGATGCTGCAGCAGGGTCTTCTAATCACAGAGCAGATTGCMCATGTACTGTTGTTTTATGTTTATGTTGTATTCAAAGTATAAATCTGGGTGCCTTTTTCATATAAGCAAAGTATTGTTGAATTTAATAGAATTCCATTATTCATCTCTGAACTTAAGGTACCATGAAATATTAAACTTAAGCACACTTTGGGAGTTCAAATGTAAAATTTCAAGTAAGAAATTTCTTATCTCCAAGGCTGGACATAGGTATTTTAGAATTTCCTCACTGAAGCTAAAAGGATTTTGGCATTCAGCTAAATGGGATGAAGTCGAAATATAGAACAAAGGACATATTTTCCAGTTTTTAAAATATGCTATTAAAGARGCTGTAATAGAAGAATAATCTCTGTAGCCTACACATATGAAAAAAGTAGGTATAGCAGGAATAAAACCAAGGTAAATGGCTAAGTAATTTTAAAATATTTGCTTCTGTAGTAAAATATGAAATCAGGTAGTATTGGATTTTGCAAAGAGAGCAGTCCTGTAAATACTTTTTATAATTTCATCTACAGTGTATKTTAGTGATTGCTCTCTATTGCAAAATAAAACCTTATATTCCYTTGCATTCCCTCTGTGAGCATCATGCCTTGCTTGTGAAATAAATTTCAGCTCCACCTCATTTTTTAAATTATMACATGTTCCAAAATACGATATGCAAGTTGAGGGTTTTTCCTTTATTCAGAGTGCTCTCAGCTTTAAGTGGCTTTGCATCTGAAAGCAGTAATGTTAGAACTGATACATACATGAAAATTGCTTGACCTTTCCTGCACAGTAAGAAGTAGCAGATGGAGTGTCTCCTAAGTATTGATTTGTCCCTTGCAAAGGTCATTAACTGGGGCCGCAGGGATGGGTGACATCCGAGCTGTACCCCGTGTCCTCCGTTATGGTGCCGRTCAGCTTGAAAACCTTCTCCTCTCAACCTGGGCCCTGTTGCAGGGTGGTTTTACAGCACCGCTTGCAAGTGCTGCTGCTCCTGGGCCAGCCCTGAGCAAGTCTGGAATGCCCTGGTGGGCCAAGCCAAGCGAATGGGTCCTGGGGTGCCCGTGGGGTGGGCAGCGCAAGGCTGGAAGGCACCCGAGCCCCGTGCCAGTGCTCTTGCGTGTTGGGCACCGACAGAGCRGTGCCTTTTGCACAGGTGGTTGCTGGTTTTCCTGTTTCTTGGCATCGCCTAGCCGCCAGTGCAGCCCTGGAAACCTGTKTTCATTTCCTCAGCGCTAAAGTGAGAATATTGGTAGTGTCGATAGTAAAGCTGCAGTGGAGGCAGAAGGCTCTGGTTTACAAAGCGTTGCTTGCAGGAATTAGCTTATTACTTTTAGAGGGTCTGTTCTTTGTAGTCCTATGCAAGGTGGTAGAAAGCTTGTGGACAGCCAGTTATTGTTGCTTCGGAGTGAATCAGCAGAGCATCCCAAGGAGCTTACCTGAAAGCTTTTCATTGGTATATCCGTAGTTTCAGGACCAGTGAAAGTGCTGTGTTTTACTCTGTATCCATGGCCCTGCACTAAATTTATTAACTCTTAACATAAGCTGAAGTTTCAAAAAGTGAATTGGTCAATATTATCTTTCACCCTTCCTTCACAGCTTCTATGAGCATCGTACCCTCCTTATGAAACATGCTCTGTATGGAACATCTGCTGCAAATAGAGACTGGACGTTTGTGGGGATGCTCTTTGGGTAATCCTTGTTGCAAAGAGTATCAAATCCTCAATGTTTTGTTTACKGAAAGAATAAATGGTGACCACTGTGACTCCTGGGAAGCCTTTTAAGGGGAATCTTAGCTGTTGAATGAGATAGTACAATCGGAATAAAATACGTTCTTAGAACAGAGAAATTTGCTAATGTACAAATTCCATTTCTTATTCCATTTCTGTATTCCTCCCTGGTCCGCTCTTTCGCAGTTTCTTCCCAAGAAGCAGTATAGCGAGACAGCCTTTGGACACCGCTGTGGTAGCCCCAGGGTTCCTTTAGCTGTCCAGTGAGCAGTACCCTAATGCAGTAAAACAGCTGGGAACTGCAACAAATCTATGCATCCTTGGGCTCCTGGCRACTCTTAACACCTTCATTACTAGCCTAGATGATCATTTGTTTTTGTTAAACAAGGGTTTTGGAAGACCAAAAACAAGAAGGTTTTTCTTTTTTTCTTTCTATCCCCTATTCRTAATGCTGCTTGACAACTTTGTTTTGAAATCAAGGCATTTGCGCTTCTCAGCATGA